AGAGTAAGTATGTACAGTGTAAAAGTTAGTATGTACAATGTAAGAGTAAGTACGTACAGTGTAAGAGTGAGTATTTAGAGGGTAAGAGTTATTATGTACCGTGTAAGAGTTATTATATACAGTGTATGAGTTAGTATGTACAGTGTAAGAGTTAGTAGGTACAGTGTAGGAGTTAGTATCAGTGTAATAGTTAGTGTGTACAGTGAAAGACTAAGTACGTACAGTGTAAGAGGAAGTATTTACAGGGTAAGAGTTTTTATATACAGTTTAAGGGTTAGTATGTACAGTGTAAGAGTTAGGTTGCACAGTGTAAGAGTTAGTATGTACAGTGTAATAGTATGTACAATGTAAGAGTAAGTACGTACAGTGTAAGAGTGAGGATTTAGAGGGTAAGAGTTATTATGTACCGTGTAAGAGTTAGTGTGTACAGTGTAAGAGTTAGTATGTACAGTGAAAGAGTTAGTATGTACAGTGTTAGAGTTAGTATGTACCGTGTAAGAGTAAGTATGTACAGTGAAAGAGTTAGTATGTACAGTGTTAGAGTTAGTATGTACCGTGTAAGAGTAAGTATGTACAGTGAAAGAGTTAGTATGTACAGTGTTAGAGTTAGTATGTACCGTGTAAGAGTAAGTATGTACAGTGAAAGAGTTAGTATGTAAAGTGTAAGATCTAGTATGTACAGTGTAAGAGTTAGTACGTACAGTGGAAGAGTTAGTATGTACAGTGTAATAGTTAGTGTGTACAGTGAAAGACCAAGTACGTACAGTGTAAGAGTAAGTATTTACAGGGTATGAGTTTTTATATACAGTTTAAGAGTTAGTATGAACAGTGTAAGAGTTAGGATATACAGTGTAAGAGTTAGTATGTACAGAGTAAGAGATAGTAAGTACAGTGTAAGAGTTAGTATATACAGTGTAAGAGTTAGCATGTACAGTGTAAGAGTTAGTATGTACAGTGTAATAGTATGTACAATGTAAGAGTAAGTACGTACAGTGTAAGAGTGAGGATTTAGAGGGTAAGAGTTATTATGTACCGTGTAAGAGTTCTTATATACAGTGTATGAGTTAGTATGTACAGTGTAAGAGTTAGTGTGTACAGTGTAAGAGTTAGTATGTTCAGTGAAAGAGTTAGTATGTAAAGTGTAAGAGCAAGTATGTACAGTGTAAGAGTTAGTACGTACAGTGTACGAGTTAGTATGTACAGTGTAATAGTTAGTGTGTACAGTGAAAGACTAAGTACGTACAGTGTAAGAGTGAGTATTTACAGGGTAAGAGTTTTTATATACAGTTTAAGGGTTAGTATGTACAGTGTAAGAGTTAGGATATACAGTGTAAGAGTTAGTATGTACAGTGTAATAGTATGTACAATGTAAGAGTAAGTACGTACAGTGTAAGAGTGAGGATTTAGAGGGTAAGAGTTATTATGTACCGTGTAAGAGCTATTATATACAGTGTATGAGTTAGTATGTACAGTGTAAGAGTTAGTAGGTACAGTGTAGGAGTTAGTATATACAGTGTAAGAGTTAGTATATACAGTGTAACATTTGTTATTTACAGTGTAAGAGTAAGTATAAACAGTGTAAGAGTAAGTATGTACAGTGTAAGAGTTATTATGTACCGTGTAAGAGTTAGTATGTTATTATGTACAGTGTAAGAGTTAGTATGTACAGTGTAATAGTTAGTGTGTACAGTGAAAGACTAAGTACGTACAGTGTAAGAGTAAGTATTTACAGGGTAAGAGTTTTTATATACAGTTTAAGAGTTAGTATGTACAGTGTAAGAGTTAGGATATACAGTGTAAGAGTTAGTATGTACAGTATAAGAGTTAGTATGTACAGAGTAAGAGTAAGAATGTACAGTGTAACCTTTGTTATTTACATTGTTATAGTTAGTATATACAGTGTAAAAGTTATTATATACAGGGTAAGAGTTATTATGTACAGTGTTAGAGTTAGTATGTACAGTGTAAGAGCTAGTATGTACAGTGTAAGAGTTAGCATATAGTCTATGTACAGTGTAACATTTGTTATTTACAGTGTAAGAGTTAGTATGTACAGTATAAGAGTTAGTATGTACAGAGTAAGAGTAAGAATGTACAGTGTAACCTTTGTTATTTACATTGTTAGAGTTAGTATATACAGTGTAAAAGTTATGATGTATAGTGTAAAAGTTATTATATACAGGGTAAGAGTTATTATGTACAGTGTAAGCAGTGTAAAAGTTATGATGTATAGTGTAAAAGTTATTATATACAGTGTAAGAGTTATTATGTAAAGTGTAAGAGTTAGTATGTACAGAGTAAGACTAAGTATGTACAGTGTAAGAGTAAGAATTACACTGTAACATTTGTTATAGTTAGTATGTACAGTGTAATAGATAGTGTGTACAGTGAAAGACTAAGTACGTACAGTGTAAGAGTAAGTACTTACAGGGTAAGAGTTTTTATATACAGTTTAAGGGTTAGTATGTACAGTGTAAGAGTAAGAATTACACTGTAACATTTGTTATAGTTAGTATGTACAGTGTAATAGATAGTGTGTACAGTGAAAGACTAAGTACGTACAGTGTAAGAGGAAGTATTTACAGGGTAAGAGTTTTTATTTACAGTTTAAGAGTTAGTATGTACAGTGTAATAGATAGTGTGTACAGTGAAAGACTAAGTACGGGCAGTGTAAGAGTAAGTATTTACAGGGTAAGGGTTTTTATATACAGTTTAAGAGTTAGTATGTACAGTGTAATAGATAGTGTGTACAGTGAAAGACTAAGTACGGGCAGTGTAAGAGTAAGTATTTACAGGGTAAGGGTTTTTATATACAGTTTAAGAGTTAGTATGAACAGTGTAAGAGTAGGAATGTACAGTGTAACATTTGTTATTTACAGTGTAAGAGTAAGTATTTAGTGGGTAAGAGTTAGTATGTACAGAGTAAGAGTTAGTAAGTACAGTGTAAGAGTTAGTATGTACAGAGTAAGACTAAGTATGTACAGTGTAAGAGTTAGTATATACAGTGTAAAAGTTATTATATACAGTGTAAGAGTAAGTATGTACAGTGTAAGAGTAAGAATGTACTGTGTAACATTTGTTATTTACAGTGTAAGAGTAAGTATTTAGAGGGTAAGAGTTAGTATGTACAGTGTAAGAGTAAGAATGTACAGTGTAACATTTGTTATTTACAGTGTAAGAGTAAGTATTTAGCGGGTAAGAGTTAGTATGTACAGTGTAAGAGTAGGAATGTACAGTGTAACATTTGTTATTTACAGTGTAAGAGTAAGTATAAACAGTGTAAGAGTTAGTATGTACAATGTAAGAGTAAGTACGTACAGTGTAAGAGTGAGAATTTAGAGGGTAAGAGTTATTATGTACAGTGTAAGAGTAAGTATTTACAGTGTAAGAGTTATTATGTACAGTGTAAGAGTTAGTATGTATAGTGTAAGAGTTATTATGTACAGTGTAAGAGTTATTATATACAGTGTAATAGTTAGTATGTACAGTGTAAGAGTTAGGATATACAGTGTATGAGTTAGTATGTACAGTGTAAGAGTTAGTATGTACAGTGTAAGAGTAAGAATTACACTGTAACATTTGTTATGTACAGTGTAAGAGTTATTATGTACCGTGTAAGAGTTAGTATGTACAGTGTAAGAGGTAGTATGTACAGTGTAAGAGTTATTATGTATAGTTTAAGAGTTATTATATACAGTGTAAGAGTTATTATATACAGTGTAAGAGCTAGTATATAGAGTGTAAGAGTTATTATGTACCGTGTAAGAGTTAGTATGTACAGTGTAAGAGTTAGTATGTACAGTGTAAGAGTTAGTAGGTACAGTGTAGGAGTTAGTATATACAGTGTAAGAGTTAGTAGGTACAGTGTAAGAGTTAGTATATACAGTGTAAGAGTTAGCATGTACAGTGTAAGAGTTAGTAGGTACAGTGTAAGAGTTAGTATGTACAGTGTAAGAGTTAGTAGGTACAGCGTAAGAGTTAGTATATACAGTGTAAGAGTTAGTAAGTACAGTGTAAGAGTTAGTATATACAGTGTAAGAGTTAGTAGGTACAGTGTAAGAGTTAGTATATACAGTGTAAGAGTTATTATGTACAGTGTAAGAGTTAGTATATAGTCTTTATCAGCCCCTAAAGTCAAGCGAGTACGACAGGGGATCTGTTAAGATATCTTCTTATCCTGTTTTTTTTTTTTTTAATAATGTTCAACTGCTATTCCGAATATCAGTATATCTAAATACAGGTGGTTGCATCACTCCATAAAAGAAAACGAAAAGAAGAAGGAAATATACTGTGACAAGATATGGTACAGATGACCTGGCATTCGAAGCGAGAACAAGTATATGCTGGACTCTTAACTTTTCAACAAATTTGTCTTTCAGCTTTGATTTACTGTACAACATAAATGAATATCAAAATTAAATATTAGGTAGGGTACGTTTCCCTATTATCAACTTATTGTTACTTTAGAAACCCGAATATCCTAAATGATAACCTTTACTTACGCAATGTAAAATCAACTTGTTCCAAACCTAGGTATCTTAACACGTCTTAAGACGAAATATCGAAACAAGACATTTCGAAAGCATGTTGTGAATTTACAAATACTTTTGTATTTCCTGTTACCATATCAACATCTGAAACCCTAATACATACCATTATAGTTGCTAATTTTCAAGATTTTAATATCAGATTTCATGTTTTCTTTCAATTTTCTTCAGGTTTACTAAGCTTAAGACAATCGAACCCTTCGTGAATTGTGAAGACGCACTTATTCCACATCATATGAAACTAGTAAAGTAAGTGCAGATACATTGTTTGTTGATTAAAATGGTTTCTATTGCGCACAGTTTTAAATTAAGCTTATCTTTGGCGGTGAAAGTCTTAAACCATTGCCACGCATTTCGTATCAATGTCAAGCGTATGTGTAATGTTTACAAATACTATCTGGGTATGGTTTCTTTTATATCCTGACTACAATACACAATTACAATCTAACCAACCTTCTCGCAGCTACACCACGTGGGTTGACATTCCGGGTGGCTTCCAATCGAAGTATGATCACAGTTGTCCGAGCTGGTGGTCAAACTGACCAGTATAGTCACTACAACCGCAGGATGTATAACTCGTCTTGTCAACATGGTGGCTGTTTGTGTTCGTCTGCTTATAGCAAGGTGACCTTCTGTCTCCAATGCACTGAAGCATAAAGCAATCATCCCAGCCGACGGCGGGTAGATATACTGTGACACGATCAGTGACATCTTATGGTCACCCAACCTCCCTTCCCTTTATGAAATATGACCGAGTAAATAGCTTCGTATTCATGAGTGGGTAGAAATCCTAAATCATTTACACATATATAAAAAAATAAAGGAAATGTTGCATGGTAAAACCCAATATTATTCTATAAAAACAAAATTCAGTCCACGTAAAATAAAAATAAAAATCGTCTAACAAAGTGCAGTAACAACGTAACGGATGTACTATATAAAACTGTTTTCATGAAAGAAGTGTTTCGATAAACGTTACACTGGTAACTGCCTCGATAAGGGTGTAATGAGGTGAAGAAATTGTGGATGTATGATTGCGACTGCATCAGACGGTACATTTTTATATAGTTATGACAACACTCTATATATTATAATATATCCCTGACTTAACGGAATCACTTATATTCATTTCCCGACAACTTCTTCCATCTTCAAAGTTTAAAGAAAAAATGGCCTATACTTATGTAAATCCTTTAATGGTTTTAAACATTTAGTTTAAAGTGGAATTCAACGCCTTCTGATGCATTGTATGTGGTCAGAAGATATTCTCCAGTTGCTTCATGGTTATTTATGAAAAGAAATTAAGGAGTTGATACTTCCTGTCCCCTGACCGAGAAAAGCCAAAATCCTCATACTTGTTACTCACTGCTGTTTGCTTGAGGTTCAAATTTTAAATGGTCGCCGGTGAGGACTTCGAAGCTCGTTGTCATAATATTGTGACCGTGTACCGGAGTGTCATGTTATCCTGTCAATGTTATGACATTGACCGAGTGCCGAAGTGTCATGCTATCCTGTCAATGTAATGACATTGTCCGGGTGACGGAGAGTCATGATATCCTGTCAATGTTATGACATTGACCGAGTGCCGAAGTGTCATGCTATCCTGTCAATGTAATGACATTGTCCGGGTGACGGAGTGTCATGATATCCTGTCAATGTTATGACATTGTCCGGGTGCCGAAGTGTCATGCTATCCTGTCAATGTTATGACATTGTCCGGGTGCCGAAGTGTCATGATATCCTGTCAATGTTATGACATTGTCCGGGTGACGGAGTGTCATGATATCCTGTCAATGTTATGACATTGTCCGGATGCCGAAGTGTCATGCTACCCTGTCAATGTTATCACATTGATTGGTTTCCAGGATGTCATGCTTCCATGTCAATGTTATGACATTGATGGGTTGCCGGAGTGTCATGCTATCCAGTTGTTGTGATGACATTGACTGGTCTCCGGAGTGTCATGTTTTCCTGTCAATATCATGACATTGACCGGGCGCGGAGTGTCATGCGTTCATATCGATGTTATGGCATTGGTTGGGTGCCGCAGTGTCATGTTATCCTGTCGAAGCTATGATATTTTAGTTTAACTTTAAAATGGCATTTGACTATCTGTCATTTAAAGATATCTCCTCCAAATGACCTAAGCATGTGGCGAAGGATGCAAAGCCCATAACAAACAGATTTGTTTCTTTTGTGTTTTTGCTGTTTACTTTCAGTGGATATATTGCAGAGTGTTTATATTGAGCTGGTGTCAACTCGACCCTTCAGACATCAGTCATTGAGAAGAGCAAATGTTAATATCGGTTGATTTTGCAGAATTATAGCATAGTGAATGACGGAGGCATCAGAGTTATTCTCACGATTCAGTATTGCCTGATAAAGGGTTAGCAATCGCTGGGAAAAAAGGAGTGGAAAATCTTTTGTTACTACAAGTACATAGGTCTGTGTAGCATGCAAAGCACAGCATAATGAAGTTAAACGTTATCGTTCGATCTGGGTGAGTACACAAGTTGTAGAAGGGTCAATACAAACCTTGTATACATGTCAACAAGGGCTAAACATTTAAGCTCTTCATTCAAAAGTCAAAAGTAAGGTACTTGTTAAACGGATATACTATCTCAGCGATGATTTGCTTCTCATTGAGGGGAGAAACAAAACTTATTGCGATACAACCTTCTATGTAATCTTGTGGATCCCACACGCCCCTCTATAAAAGTAAGTCTGGTGTGTTTGTTATACCTTTGTGAATAACACTTAAAACTAATACAAATGTCGCTACAAACTTTTAATGAGCACGGCTTGACTGATAGGTCGACTGAAAGGGAAAAACAATGATTTGTATGCTACATATGATCCAGACGCAAGGATGTTCATAATTTGAAAATTTAAGTCAAAGCTGACTTTACCAACATCAAGGGAGATGGAACAAACTTTGGTCGGATATGACAACTTTGGTGAAAAGCAGGATACAAAATTTTGTTTTTAGACAATTACACAAAAAATGGCTAATACAAGAAGTCCTAAATTGAGATGCTTATAAAAGCAGGTTTCACTGTACTAACTTACCGTGGAAATGTTATCCCTCACTGTACGCTGATAGCTCTGACATACCTTACGGGTCATCAGGCTGCTCTAGTAGATACACGTAAACATACCGTAAACAACACTCAGTTCTGTCTGTAGTGTCAGTATTGTGTAATAATCTCAGATTGAGGTGTTAGTTAACTAACAATTTCGTCAGCAGTTCATAACATGTAATGACACTCGATACATGACAGGCTATATAATCTAGATCTTCAGTGTTGAATAGAACATTACTGAGTCTATGGACAATGTATACAGGGTATAAACGAAACTTCTGACTGGAACTCAGCGTAGTATAATGACAATGTAAAGAGGATGATAAATGATAACCGTTTGACCGAGTTTCAACCAATCAACTTACATTTAAGTGGGGCTCAAAAACAGTCACCGACCTTCACATTACGCGTACTGTTGTATTTTTCGGTTTAGTTTTTGTCGTGTCTATATTTCAATTCAATTTTATTTTCTGACTTTCTGTTATTTTTCAGAACAGTCACTGCATTTAAATGGTTATGACCTGTAACCTTTACCACATATGATAGAAATAGTGTACGTGTCCGCGTTTTGTCCGTCTACAGATGTCATATATAGATCGAAGAGTCGGTGGACATGTCCTGGAAGTCCCTTGAAGTAATAGATTATGTTCATGTATTTGGACGCTGAACATGATGTAGACGTTAATGATATTGTAACCTATATAGGAAATATTACTATATTGATACAGCCAGTTTTCAGGCCAAACAATACCAGACCATGTTTTCAGGTCATTAACGACGTTTTGTCCGCCATTAATTGTTGTTAGGTCCATGTTTTCGAAAAGAAAAGTTTAGATTAAAACGGAGTTATGATGAGAAGTATTTTCCAACAAATATAATTTATTGTGATAATTGATACAGTTCACTCTGTTCGTTTGATTTTGTTTAACATGCTATCAACAGGTAAGTTTATTCAAATACGTGTCTCCATATGTGTAATGTGTGTGTCCATGTGTGTATTTGTGCTGGAAGCAGGGTATGTTGGTGTATTTGCCTCCTTGCGATAGCGCAGAGCTGATGCCGACTTTAGAGTGCTACCTCACTGAAATCCAATGCCAAAAGCACCCAACACAGTATTCCCTCCGGTCAATGTGATAACTCGACAACCAGATGTTGTAATTACCTTATATGATGAATGTTTAGCAGGAAATAACAACTATCATTTTTAAGGACATAGGATGACCCGGCCTGGGCGGAAACTGGGCGGAAACTCTCGCAAATCTATCTATGTGTACACTTCACTCGTGCAGTTTGATACGTCCAACGATAATATATTGCCCATGTCTGATGCCTTTCAATATTACATAAACATAGACTCCAATTCTGTGCTCAAGCCAAATTTCTTGTTCCGGTGTAAATCAAATAACAAATAACTTTATTTATGAAATGGAAGGATATTTTTGGAAATACTTAAAGCCAAAAACCATTTTCAAAGATAACACATGCCTTTTTGAATGTGTCTTATCATTTAAACGAGTAACAAAAAAAAGTTGGTTAGAGCACAGAATCCATACTTGGACGGTTTAAACAATACGGGCCCTAAGTACGCTAGCTCTTGAACATCAGGACAAATATAAGTATCCGAGTATGCTCTACAAGGTAGGAGTGCTTTCTTGCATTGCATAATATATTATCTTGATTTCCTACCAATTCACGATGGAATAATACACAAGTCTTAGACCATGGTTAACAAAAAAGTCAAAAAAATATATACATGTTTGTTATAGCTTAGTTTGGTGAAGACGTTGGACTGTGCTTAACGAGATTAAAATAGATAGCGCTGGCGACCCCGTAGGTATTAAAGATGTTCAACTGCTCGTCCGTCCATATAAGTAACATTACCACTACAATCACATATAATACAAATGTACATGTCGTGCAACACTGCATGGTTGGTATTACATAATATGTATTCGCGGGGGGTTTAGTTTCGCTTTTATCGCGGTCGCAAAAGTTAGCGAAAAAGAATATCCAGCGAATATTAATACTATGAATCATACTTTCATGTGAACATATGTATTTTCAATATTCAGACACAAGAAGTACAGTATTTTACTCATTTTCATAAAAAAAAAATTGTGAAATAAATCACACGAAAGTACTTTCGTGAGCTGGATAATTCTACGTGGCCATGTTGCATAATAATTAATCCTCGCAGACGGGAAATCGTTAAAATCAACAACTATACAATATTTTAGTTAAAATTGTTTTGCTTAACATAATGCAAAACAAAATAAAGCAGTTCAATATTTAAATATGCCATTCCATGGCTTAACGTGTTAATATGTTGGCAGATCAACCTAGATGAAACATTGATCCTGTCCTAGCCAAAGAAAAAAACACAATAATATTTTGTTTTTATCCTCCACCTCCTCCCTCTTTTTGATGAACTGTCAAACACTGTAACTTCATTTGGACGCATTGGTACCTGCTTGGTCAGACATGGCTATAGCTGTGTTAATTTATTTCTGAAATCCCTACGGTTTTTATAAGAAATAATAATGATAAAATTAATAAAATACAATCAAGTATTCTGAGTGTAAAACATCAGCGGGGCTTGACCGAGATTCGAACCTTGTATTTCAAATAGTTTTACTGTACTCTAACTGACCGAGCTCCCTAGTTAACAGAAGTGCCATGATCCAAATCGGCTACAGCTCTATCCAACCGGAAGTTAAAGGGAGATTACTGTATATACGAAACACCACAGCGCAGTGGTACAGGGATCCTCGACTTATTCATGTTATCCGTATGGCTCCGTTTATTCTCAGCATTTCCTGGCTTAATATATCAATGTCTGAACTGGTTATCTCTGGGTGACCGTGATCGAGTCTCCGCCCAAAATGATGACCTTCGACCAGGTCATCTCTTATTGGCAAACTGCTAAAGTGCCATTCGTCAGATGTTTGATTGTCATTGTAGCCAGGTGATGACGGTACATTAAAGGACTGCGTGTGATTGTCCATTTCATAGCACATTTCATGATGGACAGGGCAACAGTTATTTTGTATCAGAGGTCGTCGAAGGTCGTCCTGACTGTATGGACGCATAGCCCACGGGTCGTTTGCAGGCGTTGGGACAGGTAGTGTTAAAGCTATAGCCATGGTACGTCGAAGATGTTGAATCTCTGCAGAATTTCCGTTAACGTTTTTGAGCTGAGGCCGGAACTGTTTTAGAATGTTCAGGCAATGCCTTTTTTGTTTGTCATGGATGTATTTTAACATATCTGTACATCCATTGTTCTGGTTCCACATAAACACTTTGTATATATCAGGTACCGTGGACAAGTCTGTTTGCGAGAACCAAATAAATGTGATATTTTTGAAACGTTTAAGCGTCCGTTTTGAACACAAATTATTGACGAAAGCAGAAGAAACGTGATGACATTTGATAGCAATGATGACGTTGTCGTGGTTTTGGAATCCAGCTTTGGTGGATAAATCTTTTACACTGTCGCGGTTAACAGTAGATACGACCGCAGTATCAAAAAACGGATGTATGCACTGCTGCAATGCCAATGATACATCTGTATGAATCTTCTCTTCGCACGAGTTCAAAATGTACACCTTAGGCTTGTGGTCTACCAAAGTAAAACAGAAAAGGAGATTAACATAATAGTTAAGAGTACGCCGATAATCATTTAATAATATAATAATAATATAAACATTTATATAGTGCTCTACATAATGTGTAAAATCACTCTAAAGCGCTTTACAACATATGGATACATGTAATAGTATTAGTTACATTTGATAAACAAAAAGGCTTATAATCACCATTATACATTAAGCAAGATAATCATCTCAATGTGCACATACATGAATAAATAAAGGGTGGAATGTACATGACGTCTTGGCAAAGAGCCTTAAATGCAGATTCAGTTATAATGAAAGATAGATAAAGTAAGTCTTTATTACATTTTACCGGTGAAATATTAGAAATTATAAGTGTTAGAAAAAAATGTATCTTAACAACAGTGAAATTAAACGAAATGTTATATTTTCAGATGTGAATCAAAATGGCATTTTCTATTTATTTAATGCAAAACCGCAGATTTTCGGCAAAGCTTCAATTGAAGCAACGACCTGATAAGCTATTGTTTTAATACATCTTTGATACAGATACTAAGTTACATGTATAAGCACACCTACGTATCAATAGCAATTGTAAGCCATTCCTACATTGTATCAGCAGGAAACGATAGAATTGTGTTGAATAACATAAAATGGCGGATAGCCCTGTTGTGAGACATGACGTCATTAGAACATGGCGTAGAATATTCCCGCAATTTTCATATAGCAACATTTTCGTTGGTTTATTTTTAAAATTTTATAAATAGAAAATAAATGGTTTCCCCTATGCTTACCAGATATACTACACTCGTACGGCAGAATATACCGACATTTTTCACTCGTGCGTCACTCTCGTAAAAAATACCGGTATTCTGCAATACCTATATTTGATGTTGAATGGGCAAATATTAAATATCCTCCATATAACAGCTTCATTTTGTTTATTAATTTACCAAAAAGCATGAAATATTAGTTTAAAAAGGTGTCCAGTTTAACAAATATTGTACATCATATGCTTATCGGTACGAGTTAGAGAGTGTTTCTTAAACTTTTTTTTTATCTAACACAATTCATGTCGTAAAGTAGAGACAAAAATACCAACAGTTACATATAACTTTCGTTTTTAACCATCGCTAACCTTTATCATATTCACCGGTGTGCTTTTAAAGCATCGAGACTTACACCAAAGTATACGATTTGATAATAAGTATAGCGCTATACAAGGGTTGATGATATTCAAAATTTAAAAAAACAATTCAATTCACCAAAATTTACCTTTTGACAGAATACTTTCTGCAGGTCTATTTCAATTTACCGACAGTTTGGTACAATATTTAAAAGTTTTTCGTATCCAGTATATTATATTTCTGAATTATTTCAATTAACGAAATATAAAAAAAACTATTGCAGAAATGAACATAGGAGACTTAACTTTATTACCCTTTTCCATAACAAAAATAATAAAGAGGAAAAAAGACGCATAACAATGAATAAAAAAAAAAAAAAAAAACAAATACAAAAGATAATAAACACCAAAATATCCATAATGGGAACTCAAAGTCGATAAACCAAGGGCAAAATGTTAACAAAGGAAAGAGATTCACCCTTGAAATGAGAATAAGAATATATGTTACTAAACGGTAAGTGTCTTCTGCTTCATCGACGACACCCGCCATGTAAGTCTAGGTCAAGTCCAAGTAATGTCACGTCATCGAGAACTCTAATGGTGACAACAAAACCACAAGGTTCACCATCGACCATAATCAAAACCTCGACTTTCATAGCACACGCAGAAATAGTATCTTGATAGATAGAGCTATCATATTCCAAATATAAGAAAATGGATTATGGTATTTTATTGTGTACTCACCGATAGAACCAATGAAGCATGCCAATAGGACAAGAAGCAGCACAACTCCACCGACGACACCTATTATAGCGTATATGTATACCCCAGCTTTTTGCGACGTTTCTGTCGTTGGCAAGGCCGCCTCTGCAATAACAACGTAGATTAACATGACTTTTTCGCTGGGTCCTTCATTGTTTATAACCAACATACCTGCCTTGGTCACATCATGGGGTCATGACGGGTCCCGAATGTGGTTTACAAAATGTTTTAAACAAGACTCTGGTCATTCCTATCGTTTCGATTCGGCCTCATTAACAGAAAATAATTTCTTTGTCTGAAGTTAAAACACTTCTGATTAAAAAAAACTGTGGCTAAGCAGTATACAAAGTATAATTACTTGACGCACACACACTGGTACAGAGAACAGGCCCTAGTAAAGAAAACTTTTTGACAATGAAATGATAAGACGATATATGTTGCTATTGAGAAAAGGAAAGTTAATGGTAGAAAAAGTTGTCGCATTGTTAGGAAATCGAACTTACTTATTTGATATTCCACTTCCACAATCCCTGATTGTGATACAGGACACGGGTTTATTCCGAGGCAGTTTTGGACATTGACCTATATTAAATATTATTCATTTTTAATGATTTTTTTTATTATTTTTATTTCATTAACTTATTTGAATTCATTTAGAACTTTTGAAAAAACAACGCAGCTAAATGAAAGTGATCGTTAAGAAAAAAAATCATTATTTAAAACTATCCAAATGTGTTGCTTAGTAATATCAATAAAAAAAATAATCTTACCTCCACAATATAACTCCCTTTGGTGATGTTGGGGAACTCATGTTCGTACCTACTCGTCGTATGTCCAATCTGTAGATTAATTTTGAATGATAGTTTAAAAAATAGGTATTTATTTGACGAAAAGGTCATTCTAGGAAATAAAGATGTATTTGAATAGAAATCAATTCAACAATTCAACCCTTAAGTCACATTTGAACCTTACGAAATCAATGACTGGGCGAGTCCAGTTCAGATATGGAGGGGTGCATGAGTTAATGAATCATCGTTTATTTCCAGTTTTATTATTTAATTTTACCACTTTTGAATAATTAGTTATTATAAAAAAAATGCATTAAGGTTGTAAAAAGTATGACTAAGAGGAAACGTTAGATGTATATACACACTGTTGTTTCGAGATTATACAGTTACTTTTATGTTACAAAACCCTTGCTTTTCTACAGAATACCAGAAAAGCACAACATCCAAGTATTCATATGAGTGAGGTACCTTAACGGTTTGCAGTTTGCCTGCGTTTATTTCCATGAGCCTAACAAAGTAGTAGGTGCCAGGGGACACATAAACAGCTGATATTGGCTCGAACACGACATGCATAGTCCGCAACTGGTATATATAAGCCATAGCAATCGTCACTTTACCGGAATTGCTAAAATCTCTCGCTAGAAAGAAAAAAAATCACACATATGCAATGAATTTTAGTTTTAAAAATAATCTACGTCCTGATTAACGACCTTTTCCTATCCTTATTCATATCTTAGTCTATTAAGTCATGGCCATGAACCAATGATAACATTTCACTTAACGAGTCACCAATACCAGTATTTTGAGGTTATCTTCAAAAAAGTGTTTTAATTAAAAAACAGATACATATATATCAGAAGAGATCGTTCGAAAAAAAACCACGAAATAACTTGTTCAAGAAAAGTTTGTTTCAAGTTGGTTAAAAGGGTTTTTCAGTTGGGAAACGTTTACTTATTATTGTTTATCTGCAAGATTTATGGTGAAAATGAAACAAGTTTCTCAATTAAGAAACGTACAGTCAAACTACATCAAGCTAACAAGACTTCGAACATTTGTGATGTAAAGGTAAGTGATATAATACAAGAAATTAGCATATTGTAGAAATTAAAATCTTTTACAGCAACGTAATTTTTTTATGGATACGATATATCCATATAAACACTTTTCATTCACGTACTTAATTTTTTTTTACCTTTTTTATCTGTTGAATATTTGATAAAAGTAATTTGGATATTTTAGTGAGCTGCTTAAAATGTACATACTTGTGTAGACGGTAAAATGGTAGGTAATACTTGTTCCAGGGTGGCTTCGATTCAACGTATAGGCCGTTAATGTGATTATGTAAGCCCGCTTTTCACTCTGACAGTCCAGCCCCATTAAACAACCGTACACAATCTCTCTCTGGCAAATAAACATAACAAGGCTACCTTTATTTTTCACGCAAAAATGGTATCGCATATTGTTAACATCTTATATTTATGATATGCAAACTTCCATAGGTTGTTTATTAATGTTTTATATGTATAAAGCGAAGTACGATTTCAACCAGCTGGATATCAAAAGTATATTATTAAAATTCCGAATAGCAACTTTTCATTTACATTGTCATTTTCTGTTTTACTAGTGCGTTATTGGTCAATTTCAAGTTACATAAAGGAAAAGGCAAGACAATTTTACTGGCTTAATTATCCACTTAACTGACGGTAAATTAGAATATCAACGTATTGGTATGTTAATTTGGTATAACCTTTTTCCCGTAAAAGTAAAGAACTTACTGAACATGCCATCATGCCAATTAAACATTTTTGTAAAACCTCAGAAAATATAAATCGATAATCTATATTGGTCGATTAAAACTGGCTTACCGGATACATTTGATCTTGTTCTGGGGTTTTATACAATGGAAAGTCGAACAGTCGGTATCGTGGATTGTCCTTGTAGTATGGATCTATGAGTTCGGGGTACCTCGGGTCGTTCAAGCCCACAAACTTTACCAGTAGTGCTTTCGTATCTGAAAATAATACGGTGGAAATATCTAGGTAAGATAGAGGCTAAGACGCAAAAATTACATTATGTGAAAATATGAATCAATTTTGATGGTAAATAATATAAATTAGCCCTTTAACTTTCTTCTGCAAACTCTTCAGGTGAATGAAACAGCTTAAGTATGACGTCATGAAAACACGTTTATAATGTGTAAACATCGCATGTTAAGCCCTCAAGCACTTAATAAAAACAAGTGAAAACTACGTAAATATTCTGGTAGATAAACCTATTTAAAGTTATTACTTTTTTAACAAAATTCTGTTTCATTGATAAGGAGATATCGCTATGACAATCATAGAGCATGCACATTGATCAATATATAGGGAAACCTCTTGTTACACAAAGTACATTTTAGAAACTGTCGAATTGTGACTTATTCACTTACCGTATGAACTGTTCCTTGGTAATCGAAATGTAAGATTTAAATTTGGATTGTTCTTGACATTGTATTTGTCAGCTATCAGGTAAAATCCGACGGCACTTATGGAAGGCGAGTTCAAATCCTTCATGTGGCTATTGCTCTGCTCGTAACTTTCAAAAACATGGTTGTTTTTCTTAAACTCCTCCCATTCTATATTAATGGAAAAAGACATCGGGGGTTCATATGTTATAACATAACAAATATATATAAATAATGTTGTGATAACGTAGTAGTAAGGCAATGGAAACAGACATCGGGGGTTCATATGTTAAAACATAACAAACATATATAAATAAGGTTGTGATAACGTAGTAGTAAGGCAATGGAAACAGACATCGGGGGTTCATATGTTATAACATAAGAAATATATATGAATAATGTTTTGATAACGAAGTAGTAAGGCAATGGAAACAGACATCGGGGGTTCATATATTATTACATAACAAATATATATAAATATTGTTGTGAAAACGTAGTAGTAAGGCAATGGAAACAGACATATCGGGGGTTCATATATCATTACATTACAAATATATATAAATAATGTTGTGATAACGTAGAAGTAAGGCAATGGAAACAGACATCGGGGGTTCATATATTATTACATAACAAATATATATAAATAAGGTTGTGATAACGTAGTAGTAAGGCAATGGAAACAGACAATTGGGTTTAAAATACAAAATAGGTATAAAAGTCATGTTGTGAAAGCGACACAGTAACATTATATGTAATTATAAGGCAATGCAAACAGACAATAGGACCCATAGTACATAAAAATAAAAATCGTGTGGTTAAAAAACAGAATGGTTATATATGTAGTATACATAACTGTAAGACAAAATGAACCGTTTGCCCTCACTAGTCTTAGGTACAACCACTGTTGAAATATATATAAATTTTCCACTTTTATCAAAGTAACATTGAACTCTTCAGTTGTTACATGACTGATTGTATCATAATCTGTGTTAACAATAACATTTTAAATTAGAATGTGCATCAACAGAAATAATTACATAATATCTAGCGGTAGATTTGAGAAACATGTATCCATGAGCTACAAAACATTTATCGCAAACAAAACGATTTCAACTCCGAGGCAAATATTAAAAAGTCAAAACGCGAAAATGTCCTCAAATATAAATCTGTCACGAGTAAAGTAGACACATTGGCCACCACAGGTAGGATGCTAAATAATAATGCTGATAACATCTTTAAAGGATTTACCTTGGAACATCCCTATTGAGCAGTCAAAGTAGGAATCCAATGGGTTACGTTTCTGGAAAAAAATATTAGACGAATTAAGAATAATAATAAAAACCATTAATATTTTTTTGTCAGTGAGATATTGAATTCTATCAAGATTTAAAAACTGATGTGTTTATCTAACTCAACAATTGATAATGTTTTGTAAGCAGATCGTATCATATATAAACATAAAACGGTGGTATGACGTTGGGGAGCCCATCCAAAATGGCCTGCGTCTTGTTGTCAAGTAGACGTCATTAGAATATGATGCCAAAATGTTCCCTATTGCATAACATAATGTATTAATACAGTAAATCTTCGTTATTCTAGATAGTTTAAAATGTAACAAAATGAAAATTTAATGGTTTTGCCGTTGTATATCATACATATTTCACTCGCACGGCAGAAAATACTGATATTTTCACTCTTGATTTGCACTTGTGAAAGATATCGGTAATGATTTATGTGAAAACATGTAAACGAGAAACCGTAAATGATCGTTTTTTAACTTATGGTTAATGAGAAACTTTCTGCAAATATATAGTTTAATTTTAATTTAATAGACATATTTTGCTCCATGATATTGTTGAAAGGAACTTATATTTGATTTATTTTTGTGATTTAACTATTCTAATCGTTAAGGATCCAAGGCAGTTTCCAGATCTCTTTTTTTGCATACATAAGGATGTTTTTCACAGATTTGCAAACCAAATATAAAGCCACCTTGTGAAATCATATCTGTTCTGTACTAAGTAAAAGAGAATGTGTGGGATAATTGTATTGAAACTGATTATGCATTCTGACGGGAAATACATGATGCCTAATGCAAATTTAAATAATGATGAAGATATTAAAGACTGATATAATATATTCAGCGTCCTCAAATTGCCTAATCGTTAACTTTCGAAAGTAAGGAAGTGGTAGCAGGTTATTGCTTATACGTATTGTTCATAGAAGGAAACATGAATAGAAGGAAGTAAATAGCATCACATTGGCATTATCCTTCAGTGAAATAGAATCTTTGTGTTTGAACAATTTATAATAATATTCTTGTTCAAGACATCTGGTCAATTTTCTGCAAAAACAAAAATAAAAGTGAAATTCTAGTGCAAACAATGATAATAGCGCAACAATAATGAAAAGGAAAAAGCACCTACATTGTTTACGTGTGGCAGACGTTGATGAGGGTACCTATGTGAGATATATCTAATGCTTGCTCACTACACATGGTTTCCAGAATTGAAGATTTATAAAGATTATTGGCAGGTTTTACGCGTTTAACCATCCTGGTGTTATTGGGTAATACTAATTTAACCTGATACATGTGCAATATGAATCTCGATCTTTTTTATTTTGCACACAAATAATCGTGTTCTCATTTTGCAACGCGGCATTACTAGGATTTGACCTAGAGAAACAAGAGTAGTCTGATTCTCCTCGTACCTGTTCAGTGCTCTCTGATGTTTCCTCTGTTTATATTTTCATCCTAGTTTCATCGATTTGAAATCGACTTACTATTCTGCTTACACTTTGATATTCTCTTATTCTTATTGGAAGATTATATAAAACTTGATTATATAAATAAATGGGGGGGGGGGGGGGATATAAATTTCAATTTCTTTTTACGTAACCCTTTCATGTATAAAGAATGTATAAGTATTCTGTTTATATTGCTTAAGGTTATTTAGCGTTGTATACAGTGCATTTGCATGCTGTATGCAGTGAACAACGTTGAATTGTTGACAAGACCGGATCAATTATAGCTGCCCTTTAACTCAGATAATGTCATTTCTCGTTTTGTCGGGTGTGTGAAAGGCCTGAAAATAATACATATAATTATGCACTAAGTAGTAAGTCAAATTAAGATAAACACTTTTTATCGAAGAAAACCTTTTAAACACATTTGTATTATTATTTGAACTCCAACATTAGATTTTAAGTTTAGCCAATGTGTTTGTCACAAAGATGTTATCTTAGAATATGAGTGCTTTCAGGAAACGCAACAAAGACGACGGTTTACAAATATGCTTGTTTTTTGTGACACTGCATTGGAATTAAGGAACCGTGACTGTCAAATCACATGAACCTCACGCCATTGCGTAAAGTTGGTATATTGAGTAACCAGACTCCAATAGAAATGTCATGCACTAGATATCAAACAAGATATAGGTGCATCTATTGTATAAACTTATAAGAAAACCCATACTTAAGTTAGGTGAAAAAAGTCTGTACAAATACTGGGAAGCTCAAAAAAATATATGTATTAAGAATCAAGATTTAATCTGATATACTTGCAAAATGTTGAAATTTTAAAAATGCGTATACAAGAACACTGAGATAATTGTATAAAAAAACGGCTCGTTATTTTGATGGCTGTATAGTATTATAAATTATAAATCTTAAAGAAAATAGTCACTCACTCGCGTGAACAAAACTTTAGTTTTGTTTTGACTCTAAAATTCCAGTGTATATCTTTTTTTTTTTTTTTTTTTTTTAGGTACGGATTACTAATAAATCTGACTCCGTGCTCACTGGCTGTACACTGAAAGAAGAACGTAAAACACACACATACAGGTGAATGCGCATGTAAAACACACACACACACACACACACACAGGTGAGCGCGCCTATAAAATTTAGTGACATATACAGTTGGCCAAAAATGAATAAGACTGCATCACATGTTTCTGAGACCTATTGGTGATACTAGGGAAATCCAAATTTTCCAAATGACTGTTGAAACAGAGGGACACGTGCCTAAAACCACTTGATTATGAATCTAAACATGTATAGTTCTGGTTAATTTCAAATTAAATAGCCTGTAATGCGCCCATATTATGAACAAAGTAGCCTAAAGTTAACTTTTTGCCTTAAACCAATTAAATAGAACATATTGAAGTATCCATAAAACTGTATTTGAACGCAAAGACAAAAGAAATAGGAAAAATATAGATTAAGGAAAGATTGATATGGAGACCAATGAAAAAGGACAAGGAGAATAAGGCCAGGTATCCCGCGTCTTCTGCTTGTAAGCATATTTAAAGGCATTCCCTAACACGAGATAAGTAATATTGTCATGGTTTCAACATCAGCTATATACTTATCGTTTACAACCCAAATTTGTGTACTCGTATAGTTATCTGTAGAAGAAGTTTTTTTAAGTACATTGTATCTGCCAACTTCATTTTCCTCGCCCATGATCGACTTTCAGCGATTGATCAAAGACGATACTTTATGCGTGTGACGACAAAATCAAAGCAGTAACAATCTGCTGTAAAGACGGTGAGGTTATTAACAGTTTGCTGTGTTACTTATATGGTATGTTATGTAGCCAAATATAGAATAAAAACTAACTAAAAGAACATGTTCTTAATCTGTCTACTATTGTATCTATGGTAACAGGAAATATGCTTTTGCTTACTTCAGTATGCATGTTCTAAATAATAGTCGCTTGAAGTCCTTACACAAGACAGGTCAATATTGTTTTAATGAGTGTCACGCATTACAATTGCATTCATACATTTTAGACAATATACATTTACATTGCATAAAAGCACAACGTTACAATCATCTTATATATCATATTGTTAAGGTCATATATTAAAAGTGTTGACAAAACCCAGTACTCAGTATCTTTTGCTGATTAAGGAATGGAGTCATTGATGAAGTAAACCAAATCGCGCACTCTTAATCGATGAACTCGCAATCAATGTATTGAATTCAATGACTTAAGCGATAGTGTGCCGTTTTACATGAACAAGGAAATAGAGATCTTAGTCTAGTTAAGGATACACAATTATATATATTATAATTATTGTATCATAAGAGGTACAATGTGTAATTTACTAAATACTAAGGCAAATTTGGGATAGAAATGATCGAGTGAGTTGTTGTATTCATGCGAATATGGTCAGGCGTTTTTTTTATTTTTATTTTTTATTTTTTTATTTTGTTAGACCCCTTAATTTCCTCCCCATGACCATATAGAGTAAAACACAAACAAAATTGCTTTCATCTCATCTACTATTACAGTTTCTTTAAAGCGTCAGGTCTCTACACCTTCATACCATACGACTGATCTTAAATACTGGTTGTTTGGTTTCTTGTGCTTTATGGGCAAATGTTATAGGACACTTTAAAAAGCGTTTATTTAAAAGTTAAAAAAACTATTAATCAACCTCTAAGCTCCCATTTTATAAGGCACCGAGGTACTTCACACAATAAATACAGGACATGTGATAAAACGTTTCAAAAGATAAATCAGTAAGAAATGTCATTTACATCGACAAACAAAAGCGAAGATTGGGAAAAGTTTCAAACTACTGTGAAGAATGAGGAACCTTTACGCTTAAAGCTACAAGCCTTGTAGCATGACCTGGATTTTACCGTGGGATATCAGCCTCTGATCAAATAAACATTTCGCCTGAAGTTTCTTGAATCATTGTGAGATGACAATTTCCTTTTTAATGAAATTTCTCAATTTCCGGTTTGGTCAGTTCGCAAAGACTAAAGAGTTCCAATTTTGTCAAGTGTTGACGTTGTTCAGCTATATATAGATACTTACACACTATGTTTCAACAAAATTGTCCTACTGTTGCTAATATTACACAAAGAGATACCAATCCTAGTACTTCGGTTTCTGGTTGTACTTTTATCCATGATATTGAGTTTCTGAACATTTCATTATGCTTTTATACATGTTTATGACATACATTATATCTACACCTATTACATATTTACATCTGAGATATAGCTAGGTGTGTTACCACAGCAGATACACGTATATAACTCATCTATCCGTCTGGCAACTGATACCTGGAGAAGTTGTAGGCGTGAAGATTTACACCCACACCATGTGAATGAATAACTTCCATATGTGTAGCTTTATACTTACACCTTGTGAACAGTTAGTTGGCTGGCAATCTGTGTTGAAAGTCAGTGCACCCACATGACGGAATGATAAAAGATGCATCGTCAGTATACTACCCAAGACCACACCATGTATATTCTGTCTACGTACCGCCATATTCAGTCTCCTGATCCAACTCAATGCATCCAGGACCCAAAGTGACTTTTAAATAAATCCTGGTCTCGCTCTATTGATGGATGATTGACGCAACATCCATAGCCATACTTATAATTACGTGCTTGTCAATACAGGGTAAACGACTTGGTTTATAATCAAAGTTTCAATCCATTAACTTTCAGTTTAAAATGTATCTCATTCGAAACCAGTTCGTATTAATACTTTACCCCGCTTGTTCGAGTCTACTCAGCTGTAAATGAGTGCCTGGTTGGGCAGTGCTAGAATTGTTGAATGCTAGCTGTGAGCACCGAAATGGCAGCGCCGGCTGTATGCTCCCCTGGGAGTTGAGAAAGATATTGGCTGGTTGCAAAAGCCCTATAACCACGGATAATAATTTGAAAACCGCTTTGAGACGACCTTCGAACTCAGTTGTGATAAAGCGGTATATATGAACCTCGAATTATTATTTTTATTATTATTTGGTAACGTCAGAAAATTAGAAAGAGTTTTACAATTTAAAATACTGACAAAAGCCATGAATATAGTTTATGAGATGCAGAAAACTCGAAAATATTAGTTATATCACACAGTTCATATTGAACTAACACACACAATGGATAAACATTGGTCTATATATAGGTAGTGTTCAGTCAATGTATAGCAAGCCGAGAAAGGTATTCACTGAAACACCAACGCAGAGGGAAAACTCCGAGCTCATAACGATACAGAAAGACAACAGACGAAATAATGAGACACGAAATAAAATTAAAACTATACCAGGAACGGAGGAGACGACAAACAAACAAATATAAAAAAAACACCTGGAAGGAACTGAGGAGAAAGCGTTACAAAAGGACTGACAACACCAATAACTGAAAATATACCAAGCAAAAGAAAAGACACCAATAAATCAGTAGACACTAATAAAAACGGAAAGACAACACCAGGAACTGAAGATACATCAAAGCAAAACAAAAGACAACACCAAAAAGTGAGTAGACAGCAACACATAAGGCTCAATGGCCTTAGTGGTCACCTGAGTTATAGTATAGGTACTAGTAGCTCAATTTCATTGTTAAGATGTACAAAATGTGGAAAACAACATGTAAACAAAGTGAAATACAATACTTCTCATGTCAGTGTCCAAAGGATAAGAACTTAAAAAACTATTCAAATAAATTATTTTGCTATTGAGTATTATACCCTCTACCCAAGGGAGAGCAGATGACCTGGGGGATAATGAAATTTACAATTAAGGTAACTAAGGTAACTGAGTCTGAATATTAGTTTTAAAACTTTTAAACATAATCCCAATTTGGGCCCCACCCCTCCAGCCCCTGGGGATTGGGCAGGATCTTATTTTCTCATATACCATCTAATTGCCATCTGGCATCATAATGATTCCAACCAAGTTTGAATATTTTTCTACTGAAAATGGACAAAATATACCCAAAAACGTGATTTCCCTATATAAACTATAGTAATGTTACCCCCTCCACAAAGTAGAACGGATGGCCCCGGGGTACTGATATTTACAATTTAAACAAAGCCCCTGATGCTCTTTCCATACATGCAGAGAAATTGACTGTAGTACTTCCGAGTCTGGAGAAGAAGATTTTTGAAATATTGGTTAATTTTCCCTTTGAAGCCCCGCCAATGTCCCTGGGGTTGGGGCAGGAATTCCAATTTTACAATTTGATACCCTCTTCCTTCAAGAATGATTCTCACCAAGTAAGAATAATTTCCTGCAGAAAATGAACAAAATATACCCAAAATGTTATTTCCCTATATAAACTATAGTAATTTTTACCCCCTCCCCAAAGTAGAACGGATGGCCCGGGGGTACTGGAATTTACATTTTAAACAAAGCCCCTGATGATCTTTCATCCATCAGAAAAATTGACTGTAGTACCTCTGAGTCTGGAGGAGAAGATTTTTGAAATATTGGTTAATTTTCCCTTTGGGGCCCCTCACTGGCCCCTGGGGTTGAGGTAAGTAACCCAATTTTACAATTGTGTAGCCTCAACTACCAAGGATGATTCTGACCAAGTTTGAAAAAATTCCATCCGCTGGTTCTTGAGAAGAAGTCAAAAATGTAAAAAGTTTAGCACGACGCACGACGGACGACGACGGACGAATAGGTCATTTGAGCAAAGCTCAGGTGACCTAAAAAAGGGAAAGACAGCAGCAGGAATAATTGAGACACCAATCAAAACAAAGGACAACACCGGGATCTAAGTAGACACCAAAGCAAAAGAAAAAACAGCACCAAGAACTGAAGAGACACAAAAGCAATTCAATTAAGATGTTTACATTTTGGTTATTTTATAGAATTTTATAAACATGATATCGAGATGCTAAATAATAAAATGAACATAAACCAGGCAGTTTAAGGATTATGCCAGAGTAGCTTAGCTAAGGTTGTCAAATCAATGCGTATATCATATTTCTAAAAAGATTACAAAAGTTCAATTAAATAAAATATCATGATCACGCTTTAGAGAACACAATTTTAATATTTGCGTGAAAATGTCAGTATATTTAACTTAAGTATTATTAATTCGTAGTAAAGCTGTGCTTTTAGATCTATAAACTAAATCCACATATGCACACATGACGACAGTGTTATGCACGACTGATACTTCAGTAGCCTCGGTATTGCGTCCTAAAAATGTGTAGTTCTGTCTTATTATATATCTATTTTGTAAATATACACAAAGTTTTGGGTTTTGCCTACAACACACACAGTGTTAGTAACAAAATCATCCCAACCTGATTACAGTACACATTCAAATCAGTTGATATGTATCAGTTTGTTATGGCTTCCATAAATTTATATTGACTGACAAAGTACGTCACCTGTGGAATTTAAGAAAAAAAAATCATACACATCTTAAGCATAGCTGAAAAAGTGTATATACACGAGTTCTTGGGTTGTATTGCTTATAATATTGTACCACGTTTCCAACGTGTTCTCACCCTCGTTATATATTTCACCATTATACACATACATACGTTAATTATTTCTTAAACAATATACATTTGTTGTATAGCAAGACGATGTTAGTCAGACGCTAAGACACATGTTCACTATAAGCACTATTGTTATATATATACTTGTTGCTTGCATTATGCATATTCAAAGACCATTTGTTTGCTCATGTGAGGCATGAGAAAAGTGCGAATTTAAAATGTTACAATAACTTGGAAAACGTTTATTTCAAAATGCGTTTTTCTTGAATATGTACCATCGATAATTTTAACAGATTGCAATCATTCAAGCTATGTGTATAAAGAATCCAAAAAACTGGAAAACATTTGTCTTCAAGTCAATTTAACGTCGTGTTGATTCTGCGATTGTTTACATTATGTGAACCGATTCAAGTTCTTCATTAGGTCAGGTTGGAAGGAAATATGCTGATGAACAGCCAAGAATATAAAATCTTAAAAGGAATTATCCAGTTTCATAAATGTAACTGAAACTGGATAATTCCCTTTAAGATTGCGCATTTGAAAATAATTTTTTTTTTTATAAATATCTATTTTGATTAAGATTGCACAATAAGTTAAATGTAACTATTTGTTTCTTATAATTTATTTTTTTAACTGAAATTAGACTTGACTTTTAATAAAGAAGTTTGAAGACCGGATCATCAAGTACGTTTAAAGAAATCCATAATATGATTGGGTCTTAGTTAAAGTCGAATTATCTCCATAACATACTCATTTCACATCTTGTCCTAGCCGAACTTTTCCACAATAGCCATCTGTGAAGTGTTTACAAGAAAGTTACCCAGCCATGAAGTTATTTATACGACAGTAGGGGCAGAACAAAATTCTCACCAGACGTACATTCTATCAGATGACATCAGCCGAATTGTATGTTGCCGAAAGTACTCTATAAACTGGTCTTTAAGTAGTTACATCATGCGGATAGCAAGCACTGACATATAACGCCATTGCTAAAATTGTAGTTCAATCCTAAATTAAGAAATGTTTTTGAATTTTAACGCCTGTATAATAAAAATAAGATGCATGTTATATTACACCTAAACACAATTAACAGGTTACACAACATCCCTTGACTGAGTTGCACTGTACATATGAGAAATATATTAACAACAGGACCGGTAGATTTTAACGTATGTACTAGCTAACACATCAAAGTATCTGTAACAACAGCGCTTATCGTGAAATCTGTGCCTTTCGACTGCTCGCCCTACCTTTAAGCAGTATACAGTATACATACCCCTTGTGAACAATCACGTTCTTGACATGCAGACAGATTACTGATGATTACTTGATCTGATGTTGCACATCGGAAGTCATGATCATAGGTAAACATAGCTACACTAATACACCATAGCAATAATACAGTAGTTATACTTAGTGCTAACATAGTTAACAATGCGTGTGTCCCTCAACTTATTGCCAGCCTCTTTTTGACCCACCAGGAAGCTCGACTAACACTATATATATAGACAGTGGCGATATTTTATGATCAACAGGCCCGAATTGTAAAGTTAGTCATGTGATGCCCCTGTAACGCATCTAAATAACTTGCTTTCATATGATATGTAAGGTAAGACATCTATTATCAAATATGTAAAATAGATGTAGACTTTTTTTAATAAAGAACAAGCGTGGTATTTTATATCGCTCGTTCAAATTATTAGATAGAAAGTATCTTGAGGCAGCCGTTCCGTCAAACAAACACAACCGGATCAACATATACATAAGGAGAAGATGTTAAATTAAAAACACCTTGAAAAGACAACAACAGGAGCCGAGGGGCACCTGAATCAATTCAAATTTAAACAAGAGGCCCAAGGGCCTTAGCGGTCCCCTGAGTTATATCATAGGTACTGGTAGCTTTATTTTATTGTTTAGATGTGATGTGGAAATCAGCATGTAACCTAAGTGAAATACAATACTTGTCATGTCATCAAAGGATAAGAATTTTAAAATATTTGTAAATGTTCCCTTTGGGGCCCCGCTCTAACCCCTGGGGATGGGGCAGGAATTCCAAGTTTACAATGTGATACCGTCACCCACCAAAGATGATTCTGACCAAGTAAAAATAATTTCCAACAGAAAATTGTCAAAATATACCCAAAAGTGTTGTTTCCCTATATAAACTATAGTAAACTTTACCCCCTCCCCAAGGGAGAACGGATAGCTTGGGGGTCCTGAAATTTACAATTTAAATAAAGCCCCTGATGATCTTTCCATCCATACAGAGAAAATGACTGTAATACCTCTGAGTCTGGA